TATATATATATATATATATATAGGTTTTCGCACTCGCAGATTCCTCTTTTTCACGTTTGAAATGTTGTATTTAGGGCCTAACAAAATATAAACTTTAGGACGTCAAGTAATACAACAAAAGCAAACAATTGATTGTGAAGACAATTCCAATTGCCATTTAGTTGAACATCATTAAAAACTTTTTATGCAGCAGTTTGACAAAATTTTGTCAAAAACTCTTCATTATAATATACAAGCATACAGTATTAGTAGCCTGTTCATTATTTTTTTAATACTATCGCAAATTTTGTAGTATATAAATAATACTATATTTATGTTACAGATATGTTGCACTAACCATAGATTGAGAGATAAAGTACCAATTGATCTGGAAAGAGAAGGAAAGAATGTAATATTCCTCCAGGGCCACACTAACATGGTCTCCGGTATCCTGTTCTGGTGGTTGAATGATTTTGTCAAGCTAGGCTCAAAGACTGTTCTTAATCCGGAAGATTTCGGACATCTTCCACGGTCTTTGACGGCAGGACCAAACGCAATACGCTTCTACAAACACATGTATAACACACACAAAGAGGTATTTGTTCGTATTTGTGAATAACTAAAATAGTAACAATTTATAATAATAATGTGTGTAATAATATCAAGTAGTCTCCATGTAATCATCATAATCAGCATCGGGAGTATCTACCAGATCTAGGATCTTGATCAATAATGCCGGGTAGTCTAGATCACTGCGTCGTGCGACCGTCATCGTCACGTCACCGTTATTGCAAATCCGGCTCCAATTCGGCGTTTGCGTTTACAGTGCGTTTGGTGATTCCATCTATACTATACGGAGTACGTGCATGTGAATATTACCGCAATTCAAAACGGATGAATCGCTCCATGGAGCGCTTAAAATAATGGAATCGCTCTCGCTTAAAACAGTTATATTGATCAAAACGCATCGTACCGCAAACGGAGCCGCAATTGCAACAGGCGACAAATGGATCTCTAGCTTACGACGAATCCAACTCCGCACCCTGTGTGCTGATGGTGGGTAGCAGTCTGAACGGATCGTCATTAAAACCGACAATTCCATAGAATCACGTCGCCCGACGGTGGTCGGCCGTATGGCAAGCCGTTTTATCATTTACCTCTGAATTGCAGTTAAGTCGAATGCATTACAGTTAACTGTAATTCAATTACAGTTAACTCGAATTGAATTCAAGTTAACTACAATACATTGGAATTGCAGTTAACTTGAAATGAATTAGAGTTAACTCTAATTCAATTGCAGTTAACTTGAATGCATTTCAAGTTAACTTGAATGCATTTCAAGTTAACTGCAATTGACCATTTTTGGTAATTTCATTAAGGGATTGTGATTGGCTGCTGTATTTGAGTTAAGTGCAATCAACCATTATATGGGAATTCCATTAAGTGACTGTGATTGGATGTTCACTTACAAGGTATATTTCCATTAAGTGATGGTGATTGGCTGTTGAATTTTCCGCATGTGAATCGTCATCGACTGCCTATGAGCTACAGAAAAACTTTTTAATCCTTTTGCTATACGATTTAATTGTGTTTAAGTGGTTTATTTAAAAAAGTACGAAGTTACCCAAAATTAAAAAAAGTGTTATGTCTGAATCTGGGAGGCATTTGGAGCAAGTGGCTAATGTGGCTTCTCAAGCTATTACGCGTGCCAGAGACCATGTCAGGTATAGGCCTAGGCCTTCTACTACTACTACTGCTGCCAGTGCTACGAGTAGGCCTAGTAGTAGTAGTAGTAGGCCTACTACCACCACGTCTTCTAGGCCTAGTAGTACTACCACCGCGTCTGCTGGACATCATTTAGCTAGCACTGGCGGCAGTAGTACTGACAGTGGTAGTAGGTCTAGTAGGGGCCTATAACTGCAACAACTGATGAAGGGGAGGATTCTTTTGACACTTCAGCACCTTTAGGAGGGCGTATACGTGGTAGTTGAAACGGCGTTTTTCCTTGTTCATCTGCCGCTTTAGGCCTAGGCCTAGACCTACCCCTATTGCTCCCCTCTACCACCCTCCTCAGTTCGTCCACATGGTCAATCATATCTTGTATTGATTGTACCACTTCCTCCAATGACTGTTGGTCTAGCGTCGCAGAAATCCTATTTACATTACGAATACATGTT